TCAACTTCACAAAAAAAAGTTAAAGAGAAAAGTTGTTCAAAATAATAAAATGAACAAGTTTTCTTAATAAATTTTTTTTGTAACGTTGAAAATAGGCGAACTACCCCTAGAAACAAAAAGGTGGTGGCAAAAAATCCTTTTAATACAATGTTAATTGCAACTGTTTATATGCACTAAAGGCGAGAAAAGAAAAAAAAAATTAATGTAGGTATACCAACCCCTAAAAACTAAAATTTCCCCGAGGGAAGTGTCCTCCCGCTGAATGGGGATAAGTTACAAAAAAAGTTGATTAGGAAAAATTGTAGGAAATGTCATCTTATAAAACTTTTAAGAAAATTTTTTTGTAAAAAAATAAAAAAACTTTAAACCATCCCTATTGAAAAACGGCAGGGGGTGAGTAAAAACTTCATAAAGCAAAAATGTTGTATGTGTTGTAGAAAAATTTTTCACGTTGGTTAAAATTTTTCATTTTCATTATAAAATTTCAAACGGCCCTTATGACCACAGACGGCCCTTAATCAAAAAAGTCTTTAGATAAACATTGTAGATCAAATAATGTTGCACATCTTTTATCTGAAACATTTTTTTGTAAAATCAATAGGTACCAAGTAATCGCCAATGGCGCACTTTCAACCCCTATAGCGCAAAACGCCAAAGGGGTGAATGTTTGATATTTTCGGTTTTATGATAACCCACCCTCCCCCTATCATCCCTGAAAAGTTCTTTAGGGTAGGATTTTTTTTTTTTGAAAATCGACAATTTTCCTAGACTATCATATTTGGATAGGTAATGCAACTGAAAATAGAATTTTTTGCATCCTTAATTGATTTTGAAAATTCTTCAAATAAACCAAACTTTATTTTAATACGTCACAAGAAGTGGCAATTTGGCAGTGTTACCATTAATTGGTAGATAGCATTAAAAATTTGTAATAGTTTTAATTCTGAAACATCGGCAAAATACCAACAAAAATAGTTCAATTAATTAGTTGAGGATTCAAGTTTATTTTTTTTAATTAATATCATGTACAATTAATTTTTTCTTTTTTATATTCAGTTTTGCAATTTCACGTCATAGCTGCAATTTTTACATCGAGTAATTTTTTTTACTGCATGGCTACATAATTTGTCGTTTCCAGGGAAATTCGAGTAGAAACTTTACATGAGTGATATAGGCTAGTGGAACTGAACCTCAAACAAATTTGCTACAAGCTATTTTTTGCGACATTGTGTTTTTTTGAGGTTTTATATAACTGGCTAAAAATCCCAAAAAATCCGACATGGGGCGCAGCCCCTAAAACAACCCCAAAAGTACATTTAAGTTTTTTGCAATTTTCTCAAAATTAACAAGTTTTTCGAAAAATTTGCAAGAAACCTTTTTTGTGGAGTACAAAATTTGCAATTTTTTGGTATGACATACTTTATTATTTAAGTAAGCTTAAGATATAAAAGAGTATAAAAATATAAAAAACTAAGATTTAAATTTGTATTGGTCTTTGTAATCTAGAAAGTATTCCGTATTCCGAAGTCAATGATATTTTGGCATTTTGGCATTTCGTTTGTGGATAGTCTGTGGGCTAGAATCTAAGGTTTCGATCTATGAGGACCCTGTGCTAACTTGGGGAAGTCGGAAAACCTAGAATTTTCCGAACTCTTTCAGTTTTTTGCTTATAACTTCTAAATCATGCGTTTTTAGCCGAATACATCTATTTATAAAGTCGAACAAAATTAAATTTCCTTTCAATTTAACTGGTCAAAAGTATTCTTTCACGCAATAGTAATCGAGATACAGTGGTTCGAAGATAAAAAAAATCTCAACTTGTCAGAATTTTCTTCCCGTCCGAACATAATTCAAACCAAGCATGGGATAAACATATTTTATTCTCGTCTCTTTCACGTGCACTCACAGTCCACTGTGCTCCTGAATTATTTTTCTATTGTATTCTATCCTAATAATTATTTTCAGAAAATAATTATTGATTCCTTGACCTTGGAATAGCTATGCTACTTCCAGACTTCCAGAACCTATTCTAGGCACTATCAAGCGACAATGTGTAATGAGTAAATTCGGAATCAACTTCAGTTCAGTTAGCATTCGCTAGCTTTTTCAACACAACAAAAGAATTATTATTATATGTTAAGGTAACTATATCTGTGTTGTTTTGATATCATATTATTCTTATAAGCAATATTTTTCTACGTCTCAGTTTGTACTTGTACTAGTCTCACTTAGTACACATTTAGGTACCAACTGAGACAAAAACATTCACAAAGAAATGTATATTTTTGTTTTTTTCTGTGACATTATCTTCAGTTTCTGTTAAGGCTCTCATGAGCGTAAATAGTTGTATTGTTGACTGAACCAAAGAGTTTCCAGATTTTTCCTTAAATAAAAAACTTAGAACCAAGAAGGCCCATTTCGTTCACTTACTACTACCCTCCGCTATCCCATGCTTGATTTGAATTGTGGTCGGCCGGAAGAAATTTTTGACAAGTTGAGAATTTTTCTGTATCTTTGAACCACTGTATCTCGGTTAAGATTGCATTAAAAAATACGTTTGACTAGTGAAATTTGAAGCAAATTTAATGTTATGCAACTTTATAACTAGGTGTATTCCGCTAAAACGCATGGTTTAGAAAATATAAGCGAAAAACTAAAAAGTCAGAAACCGTAGTTCTTTGACTCCCCTTAAACTAACACAGGGTCCTCGAGGTCGAAAACTCAGATTTTACGCCACAGACTACCCACAAATGAGATGATACCTACCAAAAAATCAATAACGGAATACTTTTGCCTGCTGGACTAATTGTCCTAGGTAATAACTACAGCTTGCATTGCATTTTAAATTAGTTTTTCTGCAACTGCAAGATTCAGTTCAATCCGACTCACACCCACAAAATAAAAGCTTTGAAATAAAATCCGGTGGGATATCTTTTAAATTTTTTTGTGGCTGTAGGACGTTGTCGACTTTGACCCAACACCAATCTTCTGGGTTTAATTCTCTACCCATCCACAACTCTACCTGAAGATAAACTCTCTTCGTGTGGGACTCTGCAGCTTCGTTTGTAGGTGGTAAAGTTGCTAGTTAAAAATTTTGAAATAAATTTTGACGGGCAATTATTTGGTTACCTTTTATTTAAAATAACGATACTCGTTCAAATTTCGACTGTTGCGACTCCCGTACCATTATAAGATAAAGGTGGTGTTTGTCACTAAAATAAATAACTGTTAAGTTCTAACGCCTGTATCAACACTAAAACTTCTTTGAATAATACAAATGGGTATACCATTTGATTCGACATTTTGTACTCTACAAATAACGTGCCTTGTACTTTTTTGTTTAAAGTTACCATTTTTGAGAAAATTCCAACAAACCTAAAAAATGTACCTATTTGGGGGTGGTTTTGAGGTTGCACCCCCTATCGGATTTTTTGGGATCTTTAACCCATTATAGAAAACACTAAAAGGAACACAATGGCACAAAAATCAGCTTGTAGCGAATTGGTTTAGAGTTGTCCACCTAGTTTTAGTAAAATACAGGGTATCCATTTGAGGCGTTTCAATGGATATATCTCGATAACTACATCGCAATTTGGAATGCACTCAATGGGTTTCGTCCGGTACGTGACCACATTGGAGGTATTTGGAGGAAACATAACCTTAAAATTAGTCTATTTTTGAAATTTCGACGTCTAGTCCTCCTCATCCTTTGAAAAATTGTTTCTAATTGAAATATAATTCAGTTCCTAGGATAGTTTATGTAGACTAGGGTCGAAAATCGAAATACCCTCGTATTGTGCCGTTGTAGGCTGTGAAAACAATGCCGCCGAATATACAATATGAACGTAAATAAACCATTAAACAGCAAATCAAACAAAAATATAACTAGAACACCGAAAACATATCAAAAGAAGAAAGCATGACACTCTCAACCATATAAACAAATGGGATAGTGTCAATTTAGTGACGTCACGTGCACGAGATCAATATACATAGGTAGGGGGAACGCGAGCTGCCATATTTTGGTCAGGGGCTAGGTAACTTCATAGAGCAACTTTGATAGGGCCTTCCACACCCTACCATAGAGTACTATTCATCTGACCAGCAAACAAAATGAATCGTTGCGTTTATGAAGTATGCCTTCATTATTGTATACGTAAAATAAGTATTATTTGAAGTATATAGGAATGAACAATTAAAAATTTTAAATATATTTTTGTTTACACCAGTGTAGCTTGGAACTTAAACTCACTAATAAGTTAATTGAAGAGTAGAATTTTGAAAAAAAAAAAAATCAAAATCAAAAACAGCAGGCAATAAAAATCATGTTAAATCCATGTTATAAAGATGAATGAAGGTAAAAAAAATGCCATAATTTTTGGCTAAATTTTGCACAGCCTAACATCCGGTGCGTAAAGGCCTGCTTCTGGTCCTCCGTTCGTTCTAGGCACCATTTTATGACTTAATAATAATATTTATCCTTTGCTCGGTTTTTCGAGAGACCGCCTTCTCCATTTTTATAAACATCCACCGTTTACTGAAATCGCTAAACTGTTTGTTGTTTTTCGATCAGGATTGTAATTTTAGCCTCGATCACCATCATGATAAAGTCATATAAACATTTCTCGAAAAAAAATATTTCATCAGTTCCTATAATTTATCCAAAAATCACAGAAAAAAACTACCTAGAAATGTATTTTGTGGGCATCGAACTAATGTATGTATGTCGTTAGTTATTAACGTCCGTGCAAATAAGGACAAAGCTATAAACGGAAGTTGTCAAATAATGGAGGGTGAGATAGGTACCTACCTAGGGCTAATAATTCTTGAAAATGCATTTTGTTTAATTACTTAAACAATTAGCCTATTCCATACCTTCTAGGAAATAAGACCACTTTTAAAATAAGATTACTAGAGTACTATTTAACATTTGATGGCCTGAAATACCTACTTTAATTCTCTTTTTTTTTTCAGATGGCTTAAATGACCACCAATAGAAAATGATTGCTCAACTTGAGATTATTCCAATTATAATTATATATTATTGCATCATAGATATATTGGCTGTAGACCCTACTGGTAAGTGACCCGGATTGATTTTTGGATGCTTGGTTCCTTTAACTTTAGAATTTCCTTCTTTTTTTTAAAGTCAGTTCATAAACTTTTTGGGGCAGGTTTTCAAATTAGAACTTAAGAACAAAAAAAAAGGAAAATATGTCCGAAACATTAGTCTCTGACGATGAGGTAATTGACAAATATAAATCTTTACTAAGACTCGATCATTGAAAAATAGTAATGGCACAAGGAATCCAATAAATAAATGCCTTTTATTTTATTATGGATAATTGCCAAGCTGGGATACAAGATGACGTCGGACGGATATAAGGTCCTTGTTAAATAATTATTTGTGACTGTATCAAATTGAGCTGCTGCTAAAAAACTAGGGAATATTTAAATATACTTTAGTGATATAATTACAAGTATGTATTGAATTTTTTCAAAGTGTTTTGTAGATGTTTATAGGAACCAGGTCATATTTATAATTTTGGTGTTTTAGTTTTCCATAATGTAAGAGCTATTGTTTAGTTTCAGAGAATTCAGAATATGAGGCTGTTTTGGGCAGAGGTCGGACATATCCTGTTCCAAAGAACCAAGATATCAAATTACTAATCAATGACACGTTAGACTTAAGTTGTGCAAATGTAAACAATGTCGAATGGAAAATCCAAAAAACAACCAGTGAATCCAAAACAATGGCAAGTAATGTATTTATTTGATTTGTATTTTACAGTTGAAAAATAATATGATTAATATTGTCACAGCTCCGGGGTGCGTGACGTGAATCTTGGGTCCGTTTATTCCAAAATCAAAGTCCAATTAACACAACAATAATTTATTCCACGTTACTATACACTCTGACACTAATTAACTGAAACACCTAAACTCTTTACAACTCTTAACAATAATTACAATAATTACTATCTAAATCATGTCACAGTCAATCTTAAAACTCAAAAACTACTGATACCGGCCTTTATATATCCGTAATCCATACTTGTAAAATCTAGAATAAACGCGATAATCTCCTTTTTTGAACAAGGCAGTATTTTCTGGATTTTTAGGCATGGATTCTATATATCCTAGCGACAGCGCACCGTCACACTGTCCTCCTCTTAAAATTGATCGTCGCGATTAACTTCACGCCCATGATATTTCGTCAATCTATCCAGATGTACAACTTTCATCGATAAACCAAATCAATAATCCTCTTGATTATTCTGCAGGGTTCCGATGTCGAATTTTTGGCACCAATTTTTAACATCTTCATGATAGTGGACCCAGTAAAAACGTTCTTGAATTTTGTCCAAAGTCTTGTTAACTTCAAAATGTTTCCCTGAAGTTCCGTCATGTATTTCTTTTAATACATCTTCTACTCGATTTTTTGGAATAACTAGTTGGCTCCTCGTAGTTTTCTCATCGGCACTTTCCCAAACTCTTCATTTAACCATTTTATACGACCAGAGAGTTCCACTGAGCCCACAACGCTTTTTAAATCAAACTCTTGTTCGACACTTCCCTCCATTCTGGCCTATATTCATCATTTTCTTTAAGATGTAGAATTTACCCGATGTGCTGGTCTGCCTCTTGATCATATCTCATTTGTTTGGTAGTCCATTTATCATCAACGATAAGACCCGTCCTTCTCACAGCTGGTTCAGTATTTTTCTCATGCATATCGATTCTTTGACAATGCTTGCAATCTTCTTTACATGGTCGTTTTGAGAGAGCGTCAGCATTTTTATGCAGGCTTCCAGGTCGATGTTTAATTTGGAAATCGTATTGCTGCAATTTTTTCATTCATCCAGCAAGATAGCATTTTGGAGCTGCGTGATCCGTTCGAATCAGAAGGCTTTGATAATGTTTCGCTGTACTACTCTACTACATGCTCTTGGAAATTTTGAATTTGTGTAAGTACCGCTCCAATACTGGTGTTGCTTGCATCTGTGTCCAAAATCAACATACCCTTCTGATCGGTATAGGAAAACACTGGGCTTGTACATAATGTTTTTTTTAATTTTTTAAATGTGGAATCGCATTCTTGAGTCCAATTGAATGTTGATTTTTCTTCCGTTAATCGATGAAGCGGAGCAGCTTTATTGGCGAATCCTTCCACAAATCTTTGATAATAAGAACATAATCCTAGAAGACTCCTTAGTTCATGTTTGTCGCGTGGTTTTGACCAATCTCCGACAGCATCTATTTTTCCTTCCATAACTTGTATGCCATCTTCAGATACCTGTGACCTTAGAATTCCACTTTTTTTTGAAATAGAAAACACTTATTTGGATTCAGTTTTAGTTGGCATGCCGGAAGCGGTCAAAAACTTCTTTCAGGTTATTGAGATGTTCTTGGAATGAATTTCCCATGATCATGACATCATCTAAATATACCAGACAAGATCTCCATGCAAGGCCTCGCAAAACTAGATGCATCAGTCGCTCAAACGTAGCGGGAGCATTACACAATCCGAAAGGCATTACCTAGTATAACTCGCTTCCGGTAGGCAGTTTTCTCTTTGTCATCTTTGTGTATTGCTACTTGTCAGTATTCACTCTCAAGATCCAAGGTAAAAAACCATTTAACTCCCGATACAGTCGTTAATGTATCGTCTATCCTCGGGAGAGGGAAGCTGTCCTTCTTGGTGATGTCATTTAGCTTACTGTAGTCCTCACAAAATCTAGCACTTCCATCTTTCTTCGCAACCAATACTACTGGCGCAGACCATGGACTATTTGACTCTTCAATCATTCCCTCTTGCAGCATTTTATCAATTTGGTTTTCCATTTTATGTTGTTTAGTTGCTTGCATACGTCGAGGTGGTTGTCTAATTGGGTGTGCCAATCCAGTATCAATTTTTTGTTGAATTAAACTGGTCCGTCCGGTTTGATCACAAATACGTATGCTTCTTTCAAGATGAAATCTGTAGCTACTTGAAGCCTTTCTGGATCGAGGTGATTCCATGATTTCTCTAAAGCCTGCATCACGGTGTCTGTATACAATTTCGGTTTTACAAAATGTCGCTGATCTGGTAGGTCACAGTTCGATATAGCGGACAGGTAGATTTCGCGGTCCTGGCAAAGATAAATCTATTTCATGGATGCAACCCCACTCACTCGAACTTTGATCATTCTACAATGCTAAACAATGAAGAGACCAGGTGCTAATCTTTTAAATTTTTCTTCCAATATCGTTCCCCAACCCTTTTTCGTGCCATCTTCCGATCCGTTTCTTCGAACTTAAAAGTTGTGTCCCGTTATCACTTATAATAGTATTTGGTAATCCAAACCTTGAAAAACAATCTCTTAAACCTCCGATTTTTCCTTTTCTTTGATTCTCATTGCTGTACATCCATAATTCCCCTCTTTGAATCTCTTAAGTTTTCTGAAGTTGAGTCAATTCTAGTCATCTCATAAACTTCAGGCCACTTTGAATAAGAATCTATTACAATTAAGAACATTTTTCCCTTAATTGGTGCCAAAAAATCTATATGAATTCTATCAAAAACACGTTTAGCCTCATCAAATTTGAGCAATGGAATTTTATTTTGGTCTTTCGAATTTACCATACAAGCATTGCAATTTTTAACAAATATCCATCTAAGTTCGGCCACCAAAAATATTGCCTAGCCAATGCCTTCATTCTTACCATTGTAGAATGTAGATTTCGGGGGAGTCGTTTCGGCTTTTCAGCCGCTCAGCACTGCTACCTTTGCAGATATTTTGTGCGTGACTGTATATCTTAATTTGTCTCCAGGAAGCGTAGACTTCTGCCGAAGGAAGCTATTTTCCTGGGTGTCAGTTGGCCCACTTCTTCTGGTGACAGTGTTGCCCCCTCGAGGAATTTGAGCCTCTTGCAGAATTGGGCTGGACATTCGCAGAGCAGGTGTTCTGCGGTTTCTATTGCGTCTGAGCAGAATCTGCAGAGATCGTCTTCCGCTCTGCCCATTAATCTAAATGGTAGTTTACTGGGCAGTGTCCTGTGAGCAGTCCCACCACCAATCTGATGTCTGGTCTGCTCATGTTTAGGAGCTGTTCAGCTTTTTTTGCTGAAAGGGTAATAAACCTTTTTGACTGCCTGAGTTCCGGTGTGTGCCTCCAATATGATGACAGTTGGTCTTTCTCCCATTTGTTGAGTTCTTCCATGATGTGGCTTTTCATTAAGCCACAGTAGGGCTCTGGTCCATGGTATGGTGTTGGGGCCCCTTGCTTTGCGAGGCCATCTGTTTCTTGATTTCCTTCTATGCCTCGATGACCAGGCAGCCACATCAGCGTTACGTGGTTATGTGTCGCTAGTGTTTTTAGGGTCTGTTTACACTCCCAGACTAGTTTTGACGTGCAATTGAAAGCCCTTAAGGCTTTTAAGGCAGCTTGGCTGTCCGATAGTATGAAGATGTGTTTTCTTTTGAGGCTTTGGTTAAGACACTATTGCGCACATATATCTATGGCAAGCAGTTCGGCTTGAAATATTGTAAGATGTTTACCCAATGCCTTGGAGAGCTTGAAGTTGGGGCCGGAAATGCCCAGTCCAGCTCCTTCCATTAGCTTGGATCCATCTGTGTACCACAGCGATGCATTGTCTGCTTGTGGTGGTTCTTTATTCTCCCATGATTGGCGGTCGTTTATTACCACTGCGAAGGGAATCTCTAAGTCCAATCTGACCATCATGTGGTCACTTGGTTTGCTGGCATTCTCCAGTTTTATTAGATCAAGGATTCTCAGATGTCCCCTCAGATCGCCAGGCTTGAACTTGTCTATTTGGAATAGCCTGTGAGCGCTGGATATTGCCTCCTTTTTCACACATAGGTGAAGTGGGGGCATGTTGAGTAGCGTCTCTAGGGCTGCGGTGGGGCAAGTTGACATTGCTCCCGTTATTCCTAGACATATCAATTTTTGCACCTTTCTTAGCTTAATCTGAGCGGTGACTTGTTGGGTTTTGGGCCACCACACCAATGAGGCCTATGTGACCATGGGCTTTATTATGGTTTGGTAGATCCAGAATACCATCTTTGGCTTTAGCCCCCATGTTTTGCCAACAAGTTTTCGGCATGACCAAATGGCTGATGTAGCTCGAGAGCATGTTTTCTCTAACTGTTTGTTCCAAGTGAGGGTTCGGTCCAGGGTGACCCCTAAGTACTTCACTTCGTTGGAAAATGTTAGTTGTGTACCGTTAAGGGTCGGGGCTTTCAAATTTAGCTTCCTTCTTCTTGTGAACGGGACAAGGATTGTTTTGTTTGCGTTTAGGGATAGTCCTTCGCCTTCGCTCCAATTTTTAACGATGTTTAGGGCACTTTGCATTCGGCTTGTCACTATACCTTCATGTTTGCCCTTGATTACAATGGCTAGGTCATCTGCGTAATCTATGACCTGGTGTCCAGCACTACTCAAGCATTGCAATTTTTAACAAATATCCATCTAAGTTCGGCCACCAAAAATATTGCCTAGCCAATACCTTCATTCTTACCATGCGATTATGTACGTGCCCCATGAAAGCTGTTTTCTAAATTTATCTGGAATTATAGCACGAAAACCCCACATTAAAATGTCATCAATACTATATGTATAATTTCTAAGTGACGTCTACTAAAAGGTTTCAAAATTTCCGGTACCACATACTGAAAACTACATCAACTTTGGTTTGCCTTTTAATTTGATCAGCACTCACATCTTCTATTCAGAAATTAAAATAGTCAAATATT